TGCGCGGTTTTTTCCGCTTTGAGTGGGTCTAAAAGGGAGGGGGGGGGGGCTGGGATGGGGGTCTTAATCTTATCACTCAGCATACCCGGTTAAAAAAAGTCACTGTTCGCCACTGATAAACTGTTCTATTTTTCTATGTATGTGTATTAATATACTGTATATATATATATATATATATATATATATATATATATATATTTGCTCTAAATAAACGTAATCAATCAAAAGCATACCGAGCCTAGGAAGAGACACTGTTTCTCAAGCGCTTTCCACGAGTGGGATTCGCGACGGAGTGAAACATGGACAAATTCCTTTGCCGACACAGTTTTGCTTTGGGCCCCCAGAAGTCTAGGATCACCACTGCATGTGGAGCACTTCTTATGATGGATTTATGCACTTTATTTTGCTTCAAAATCTCGACCTCCATTCACTGCCATTATAAAGCTTGGAAGAGCCAGGACATTTTTAATATAACTGTTTGTATTCATCTGAAAGAAGAGCGGCATATTCACCTAGGATGCTTCAGGGTGAGTAAATCATGGGGTAATTTAAAATTTTTGGTAAACTCTCCCTTTAAGTTAATTTTTCAATAATTTAACAAGACATTTGCATGTTCATGGTTCTCTAATATTGATAATAATTACAATAATAGAAATTATTATAATAATTATTAGTTGCTGTAGTAGTACAGTAGTATGTTTTAACTAATTATAAAAATAAAGACATTACAGTTGTACTGAAAAATAAATAATGAATATTTGATAATCATCCAATGAAATGAGCTGCATCGGACTATACAGCTATTTAATTAAATTGTTGCCTTTGATTTGATTATTGCATTAAGCTATATTGCGATTATCTTGCAGCCACATTTATTTATTTAAATTTTACATTCAATATAATTACTTATTAGCTGTTCGTCAACTCACGAACCCCCTGCAGTTCCATCGTAAACTTCCAGGGGTTCATAAACCTGCATTTGGGAAACCCTGGACTATATGAAAAACAGCACTAAGTTTAGCCACCTATTCTCTTGTCACACAGAGACAGACTGCACTTTCACAAATGTGTGAGATAATGAATTGCAGATGGCAGGTAAAACAAATGAATCAATCAATGGAGCACAGCAGGAGGAGGTTTCTCTCAATCAGTGACTCTCTTGAGGAAAAAGCTCCTGCTTCTGTTTCACCTAATGTGCAATCTTACTAAGGGCAGCGGAGGGAGGAAGAGAGAGAAAGAGGGAAGAAAATAGACTGAAAGGAGAGAGAGAGATAATAGAGGATGGGTTTGAGATGGGGATTGGCAGCACGGCTGTAAGATCACTGCCACCAAGTGGAATGTAGATACCTCCGGCATTTTCTGGGATTCTCTCTGGTAAATATAATCCCAGCTCGCCGCTCTAACCTCACAGTGTCCTACTTCCAGCTGTCTGGGATTTAATGCTTCTTAGACCAATAGTGCAATTAACCTATAAATCCCTTCAGTTGTCCAGAAATCTCCCAACAGTGATTCCGTTTTGGCTATGAATGGCAAAGTAAAGTAAAACTGTGTTTTGTTTGGAGTTTGATTAGCTTTTTGGAGATTTGTGGCTTATAATAATAATAATAATACATACAAGCATAAAAAGAGACAATCCATTTGATATCCCTTGGCCTAATTTCCTGTTTCAACAGGAAATATATCAAATGGACTGAAAACTGTGCACGTCAAGCTATAAAGTGGCCTTTATGATTGAACTCAATGTATTTAAGTTGTTTTCTTATATTTTGTGTAAATAATTTACTGTATCTCATGGGCTGTTGTGTTTTTATTATGAGAATGACGGAAGATTTTAGAAATGTGCCCGATGATTTTCATTTGCATTTCTACCATATACTGTAATTATGACTCATTGCTCATTTTATTTTAATAATATCTGGAGGAATATCATGTCTAGCCTCTTTAAAATAGCTATTGTGTGGGTTTTGTCCCCCCTGAAATTAAGTAGAAGGTTTAATTTATAAGAGTTTAGTTCATGGCACACATTGTAATCCTGGTCTAAAATGAACAAAAATGGATTTTCAGAGACGTATGACATTCATTATTGAAAAGCACCACAGGACTAAGCCAAATCGGAGTCTGCCCCTGGGGGAATTTGCTTTTATGCTACAAGGTCACTGTGTGCCAGGAGTGTCAGTTGGTCTGTACATTAATGAATATTTTAATAGCACAATATCATTGTCCTCTGTAATTTCACACAATGGAATTCCAAAGGATTTAAAGACACTTTATGTGAGTTATGTCTTAAAGGGATAGACCAACAGAAAATTACAATTCTGTCATTTACACGCTCTCATGTTGTTCCAAACATGTGTGACTTTGTCCTTAATTAAATATTAAAGGGTTTTATTTTTGTTAAATAAAGGATTGTTTAAAGGATATCCTTGCTGAAATTTTCCAATAAAAAAAAGTTAAATAAAGATTAAATGGTAAGTGGGACTGTGAAGTTCCAAAATGACATTTTTTTTAAATTTCAATTTTAAATGAATGCAGTTCTGTTAAACTTTCTACTGCTGAAAAAAATTATCTAATTTCAAGCAGCACAGCTGTTGTCAACATTGATAATATAATGTTGACATTGACAACTAGAGTAATGGCTGTTAAAAATTTAGATTTGCAATCACAGGAATAAATTACATTTTTAAATATATTAAATTAGAATACATTTATTTTAAATTCTAATATTATTTCACAGTCTTATTGTTTTTTTTACTGTATTTTGACAACAAATGCAGCCTTGGTGACCATTAGAGACTTCTTTCAAAAGCATAAAAACTAATTTTTCTAACAGTATTGTAGCACAAAAGTGATATGGAGTACTTTCTGACTCTTTTATGGTGCATTTTTTTGTCATTTTAAAGCTTCACACACTTTGGTCGTCATTCATGTTCGTTATATGGAAAAGAGTTGCCACAGTATTCATCAAAAATAATAAAAAGCCACGTCAGTTTGGAATTTCTTGACAAACAATGAACTTATGTGAAAATACTTCTTTTGCCTCATAGGTGCACATGTCCTCATGGCTGGACAGGCCTGGATTGTGGAGAGGATGTGAAGGAATGTTCTTCCTCTCCCTGCCTGAACGGTGCACATTGTGTGGAGTCTGACATCCCAGGGGAGTTTTCCTGCACCTGCCCGCCCTTCTTTACCGGCCTCCTCTGTGAACAGGCATACAACCCCTGCGACCTGCGGCATAACCCTTGCCTGCACAACTCTACCTGCCGTGCCAAGTCAGATGGAACCACCCTCTGTGTTTGCCCAGTTGGTGAGATATAGCATCCCAACTATATCCTACCTACTGACCCACCCACATGCTGGGTGAGATCTGTCATTCTCAGGGATTTATGTTTACACTTCCACAGCTTGTTTAAATTCACTTGCCTTCCACTGAGTTGGTTATTCAGGTAATATTATGCATTTCTTTCTGATTACGTCTTTGCTAGATGCTTATTTTAGTCCACAATAAATGGGTTCCTATGGAAAACCTGCAAATATTTTTTAATTGTGACTTCCACTAATGGAAAAGTCATGTTAATAAGTAGAAACATTTTAAAAATGTGTTGTTAAAATTATTTTTTCTGTTTTTGTTTGAAAAAACGTAATGGCTATTGCTGAATATTGCTCTTTAGACCCCCATGTCGTTCCAAACCCCTAAAAGCTTTGTTCGTCTTCGGAAAACAAGTTAAGATATTTTGGATGAAAACCGGGAGGCTTGTGACTGTCCGATTGATTGCCAAGTAAATTATACCATCAAGGTCCAGAAAAGTATGAAAGACATCGTCAGAATAGTCCATCTGCCATCAGTGGTTCGACCGTAATGTTATAAAGCGATGAGAATACATTTTGTTCATGAAGAAAACAAAAATAATGACTTTATTCAACAATTCGTCTCCGCTGTGTCTCTTTGCATCACCGTAGCACCATTTTGGAGAATAACCACTGAACACAAGCAGCGTACGCTCTTCTGTGTCAGCCGCGATGCACGGATGCACTGTTTTCATTCAAATCAAAGCGTAAATACACGTAGAAAACGTATCCTTGTGTCCAGGGGCGGATTTTGTGAATTGGGGGCCCCAGGCAAAATATAGGAATGGGGCCCTACACATTTGCACACATTTTCCTAGATCAACCGCGAGGTTCCATTTTGTTGTTTTCAGCGTAAGCCTGTGTGCAAAGACTGTCTAATTCTAAACTTTAAAATACATTTATTTTTAGTTGTTTTAACTACAAATTTAAATACAACTGAAAAAATAATGAAAAGGCAGTTATACATTTACACACCTAAAATACATACTGTATATCAAGAGCATGCTCACAGATGAGAACAAAACAGCGTTGGATGAAGTGGATTAAAGCCCTGCACGGGTCTCAAATATAGGCCCTAGCCCGTCTTTTTTCCCCCTTTTCCCAAAAAAAGTTTATACTACTGTTTCAGCTGTTAAAATAGTTCAGTTTTGTATGTAATGGAAAAGTGATTATATTTCGTTTCGTTTTTTTATGAAGTAAATTTAGAAAAACATTTGGAGTATTTTTTGTTCGTTAAATATAAGTAAAGGCCAGCAGCAGACAGTAAATTGATCATAGCCTATAGCCTATGTTTGATCAATTTAGCCTTCTCAAATCATCGGGACTTGCCTAAAATAAAATCTATATATAAAACAGTTCAAGTATATCACAATATTAGTTTAAATGTTTAACCTATATAAATGTGCGCTGTTATAGACACATATCCAATCGTTTGCGGAGAGTGGAAGCTGAAGCGCGCTCTGCAGGACATGGAGGCGCCACCGCGATCACTTGCATTTTTTTCTAACAGTGGAAACAACTTAAAATATGCAGTCATTTTTCATAAAGGTAAGAGTAATACATCATTCTAAACTGTAAAGGGTCTAGTTTTATTTGTGTGCACTCACAATATCAACAAAAC